TAGGTTAAAACTAATTGCAACGTAAGTTGCAACATTAAAAGTTGCAACATATTAATTACAATTCCCATCTTTAATCAATTACCTAATTTGTATAAGTATTAAAAAGTTTAACGGTTAACTATGTGGCAAATTTTTCAATTACTGTTACACAAACAAATTTAATTATAAAATTGATCTGCATGCGACATATCTGGCAAAATTATAGTGCATTAATGCGTTATTATGCAAATGCACGAATCAGTGGGCTCTAATATAAGGTCACGTGAAAAATGCAAAACGTGAGATAGAAAATCACGTGATCCGAGCTTTGTTCTAAGCATCAATGAAATGATTTTCCGAACAAAAATTTTATAATTTTTGACAAAATGCCAAATGAAATCAATAACATAATTCATATACCTCAAGTAACCGTACAGTCAGATTGGATAGAAGTGGTTTCAGACGTTCTTCGAGGGACAGTTGCTTCTGAATCTTTTTGGGTGTCTTGCTATCGAAAAGGTATGATGCTTTAGTATAAAATGCTTGTGCTTCTATTTACTTACAACAAGGTGTTCTCTAGGTTTTACATCTACTCATGGTTCAGTTAAAGTCAAAAGAAGCTCTGCTGACTCTCGTTCTGTGGAACTCATTGGACAAGATGGTGTCATAGCCGAAAAGATAACCAATGTGCTTTTCTAGTTTTAAATAGTGCTTTTCTAGTTTTAAATAGTTCTTTTCACGACTTTAGTACTTGTTGAGTATTTCATTAGTTGAAATCATATTACATTTAGTATTCCTTCTATGCTTCCTGTGAGGATCTCGGAATTAGAAGAGCAATTATTAAGGGGTCAAAGGCTACTTTTAAAAATTTACATACTTCTGCCGTAAGTATAATTTTAGTTTATATCAATTATTTTATGTTTAATTTAATTTTGAGTTTTCAATAGATTAAGTCTATGGATATTTCGCCTGGTGGGGAGTTATACGTAACTGGTGATAATGACGGATTACTGAAAGTGGGTGACACAAAGGATGGAAGTGTAAGGGTATGTAACATTATTTTTATCTAATTTTTTTTCTTCATAAACAAATATTTAAATTTCAGCTTCTTCTTACATAGAGAGAATTAAGAGGACACATTATTGATATTACTACCTGTCGCTTCTTTCCATCTGGTCAAGGTAATTAAGGAAACGTATTGATATATGTAATTGAATCCTACTGATCTCATCATCATTAATTTTATAGTGATATTAAGTGGTGCATCAGATTTCCAATTGCGCATTTGGTCAGCATTGGATGGAAGTAACCCGGTTACTTTGAAAGGACATACTAAGGGAGTGACTGATTCAGCAATCATAGAGAGAGGCAAAAATGTTCTGTGTAAGCTTTTTTTTTCGTTCTAATGTGTCGCGTATTTTTAGAACCGAATAATTCCTAATATTATTACGCAATTAAAAAGCTTCATCACGAGATGGTACTATTCGATTATGGGAATGTGGTATTTATTTGATGCAACATTTCTCCTCGATTTCGGTTGGTTTTCCAAGTCTGAAACATTAAATACTTTATAAACATTTGAGGTTCCGCTAGTATCATACGTACTATGGGGAATCATTCCTGTGCTGTCAATAAGATCACTCTAGGATCGTTTCCTTCTGAATCGATTTTCGAAAGAAGATCTGATAGTGAATTGGGTAATATAATAATAATTCAAAAGTTGCAATGTTATAAATGGCCTTTTAATGATTTTATATATATATATATTTCTTAGATTCGCGTGAAGTTGCAACAAATGATAAACTTGTAATATGCGCGCTAGAAGATGGTAGCTTTAGTGGAATCGATTTAAGGAGCAAGGAAGAAGTGTGTATTATGATTCTAATCACTCTTATGTGTGTGTTATAAATAATGAAACTTTATTTTCAAATATGATTAGGTATTCACCGAAAAGTCATACCGAAGTATACCTTTGTATTCTTGTACTTATTCTTCTAAACATAACTTCTTCGCGGTCGGATCAGCTGAAGGAGTTATTGAAGTCTTCGATATTCGGAATATAAAGTATTATTATACCTTATCAGCAATAATATCTCATTTAACTATTTATAAATGTTACTTATGAATGTTCAATTTTTAGCAAAGATCTTTTCTCCATTAAAAGGAATGATTCAGCAATTCTTGATTTGGTTTCCATTGAAGGGACGGGTGATATTTTAGTTGGCCAAGGTATTAAATAAATAAATAAATAAAATATTTTCTATTATAGTGGTACGTAAACTGACATACAGTATTTTGTAGGTGATGGTTCTGCATTCCAAATTCCAACTGATTTTGCAAGCAATATTTCTCAAGCGTCACATGAATTTATTGGTTTCGATATGGACCCGATATATTCTATTCGGGTGATAAATAATGGAAGATTTATATATGCAGCTGGTCGGGATGGGAGTTTGAGAAAATTTTAAATTTTAAATACATTTTATATGATTGATCGGATTTTGTTTTATTATAATTCAAGAATTTGAAGCTTAAGATTGTTACTGTCATTTTGAATTTTGTTAAATGGCCAAGTTTTTTGATTTAGAAAAATTTAGAAAAATTTGGACCAAGCATTCTATAATCCCAAACCCCGAGATGTCAACTGTGAATTACAGAGAAAAGGCATTATGTGTACATTTAGATACGAGACCCACTACTAAGTTCCCAAGTTGTTGGAAATTTTCTGAATGAAAGGTTTTCGAAATGCTTGTTTCTCTTTTTGATATAAAAAAACGTTGTCAGGGTCTACCAAAGTCGTTTTGTTTGCATAAACAACGCTTTTATAATTTACAAGAAAACGGCTAATAGTTCATTAAAAAAAAAAATTCTCGTCAAAAAGGCTAACCATTTTTGTAAGAAAAAAGGGCAACTTTTTGTTCATTTTTTGATTGGTAGAAATATAAAGAGTAGCTTTGCTTATTTGATAAACTCGGGTTATTTACCATTAATTAGAATAAGAAGAGAAATATCTACAATAAAGCCGCTAAAGATAACTAATCGATTAATGTATAATTAATCACATTGACCATTTTTAGGACCATCCTTCCACCTCTCATTAATTTTATTACAATCAAAAATTGGTTTACCCAAACGTTCATTAACAATATTATGCATATCACATAACCATATTCCTAATGCCCATCTACTTTCAACCTTTGGTGGAACTTTTTTCATTTCTTCACGTAAATGTTCGGCACAATACCAACAAGGATAAAATTGAGAAAAGCCAGATAATAAATTACGCATATTTATTTGTTGTTCGGAGGAAGGTACTTCGGGGTAATAAGCAGCCATCGTATGTAAGAAAGTCCATGTAGCTCTGCCTAATTGTTCTGAATCTGGTGGACAATCTGGAGGTAATTCTTGTGAATTATTGTTTGTTATACCACCAGTTGCATTATTATTCGGTTTATTTTCCTTTTTTGACTTTTCATTATTGTGTTGTGATGATTCTTTCTTTTTCCCTCGTTTTGTCCAATCTCTAAATGCTGTACAGGCTCTACACGGTTTTCCATCTTTATCAAGGAAAATTCCAGAGGGCTTACCTGTTGCTTGATCCTTTTTGGATGATTCGTTATCAGATGACGATTTTTTTGTAGATCGGTTACCATTTAATTCATTTAATTTTAACTTTTTAATATATTCTTCTTGTAAAGGAAGCAATTCTGTCATAATTAATGAGGTTCAGAGGAAAATAGAATTCAAAGAAAATAAAAAAAAAATTTTTTTTTTTAACATTAATAAGCTATTTTGCGCATCATACGATGATACACAAAAATCTTAATTGCTCGTGTAACACAAAACTGATATAAATTTACCATATATTTTTTTTCCCCTCAATCGTAACATGGCAACATCAGATTATCCGAATGAAACAAAAGTTATGGTTCCACCATTAAATTTTGCAATGGTAGCACCAGGAGTGTATAGATCAGGACATCCCAACAGAAAAAATTATCCTTTTTTAATTAAATTAGGACTTAAGAGCATAATGTATTTATTATATATGAAATTCAGTAATTCTTGTCAATTAAAAATCACTTTTTATGTATAACTATTCTCTTTATTCCTTTTTTTAGTTATTTGTCGTCCGATGATTTTAATAAAGAATTAGATCAATTTGTCAAGGAACAAAACATTCAAGTTTTTCATTATAGAATTGATGGAAATAAAGTATATATAATTTCTTTCTCTTTATTATAATTTTTTTTTTTAAAACTTGAAATGTTGATGTAGGAACCTTTTGTCGAGATTGAACAAAAAGAAATAAGTAGTGCATTAGTTAAAGTATTAGATGTTCGAAATCATCCAGGTAAAGTTGTATATCTAAAAATTTGAATAAATATTTATATTTTAATTTCTATCGTTTTATTATTTTTTTTTCGTATAGTGTTGATTCATTGTAATAAAGGAAAGCATCGAATAGGGTGTTTAGTAGGATGTCTTCGTAAATTACAAAAATGGTCAATGACTTCGATATTTGATGAATATCGTAGATTCGCTGGTTCAAAGGTATTAGCAGACCAAGAGGTATTAATTAATTTTACTAGTTAAAGTTATGATATTAGAAATTAATTAATGAAATGATATTAAGAAATGATTTTTAAACGATATCGCAGTTTATTGAAATATTTTCCGAGCATGTTCCTTATGATCTAAGACATAAGCCTGACTGGTTATAATCGTTTAAATTGTCCACCATTTTTCGGTGCAAGAATACCATTCCGTATCTATTAAAATGATATCAAATAAGAAAATGTTAGTAAATCTTCTCCTATTCTTTCATAAAAATAATTAAATTTGATTGATTTTTTTTTCTTTACCAAAATTTTTATTGGGATTACAATGACACCTTCCATTTTCATGAAATTCTTTGTTAATTGGACAATGTTGATAAGGTGGATGTAAATATGCTATATCATTAAAAAAATGTATTTTTGATTTATCCGTGAATAATGCTAATCCTAATGAATGGACTGGCGCATCTCCCCATCTTTCGTAAAAAAATCCTCCTTCCTTATCTAAATATTCAAAGTATTTAACATATGCTTCACTTCTCCAAAAATTTAAATTTCCAATTTCAAAATTACTCCAGAAATGACATAAATTATAATTTTCTCCATCATCTTTTAATATCCATTCCGATGCATTCTTTTCATTTACATAATTAGGATTTTCTTTTATGAAATTTTTGGTGGTATTCCAAAGTGTTGGTATTGTATTTTCAAATTCATACAAAGATATTGTGAACCCATAATATAAATCATTTCTTTTCATAAATAAAAAAGGATCATAATCGATATCACACATATATTCTACGGAAGGTTCTAATCTCCAATAATAATCATATTCAAGTAACGCCGGATGTCTGAAAAAAAATCCTGAATTAAATCTACACATATGCCTATATGATTCTGATCCACCATAAATCATTTTATCTTCTACAGCTTTTTTTCTTTTTTCTGCCGCTAAGTTTTGATCTATCCAACTTGGATAACTCCACATCTCTTTTGGTATCACAGCTAAAAAAAAAAAAAGTTAGGTGTGGTTTTTTTTTGAAAAAAATTGATTGTGAACAAAAAATTTTTTTATTTTTTTCTTCTCTCATTAAAACTTACCATATTTCGTTGTAGATTGTGTCATGGCACTTGTATACGTTTTAAATTCTTCTGAAAATTCTACATCATTTAAAAATACATAAGGGTAATTATACTTCTTATTCCACCTATCTTCAAATTGTCTCATGGATGATCTTAATTGATGTAATTCCTGATTCCTCACCAGTACAACAATACATGCATTTACTCTGCTATAATTTTTTATTTCAGGAGGATCGAATACCGGTACATCTTTATATGGGTCTTTATATTTGTGAATGAAAAATTTATCCCGAGCCGTTCTATTTAAATGAAAATAATATAAAAAAAACCCTCCCATTAAAAATATTATTATTAATACTGATGATTGTAATCGGGGCTTAAGTATCATTATGAAAATTTTTTTATAAAATAATTTTTTTTTTTGCTTTTTTTGTTTTAAGAAAGAAATAGAAGAGAGAATAATTTTTTTTTTTTGATCATCAACCCCCCCCTAGCATAATGGACATTCGTTATATCACGAGGTGATAAAATCAAATGTCGATCTTTTTTATATTGTGTAACATTCGAT